TAACAATAGCCCTTGACCAAGTGCCTGAGATGGGGACGCAGGGAGCATTCTCTAAATGCCGGCTGTCACAATTTTATTATTTCGTCTCAGTAATCCTTATATTCTTAAGAAAGACATATGGCTATCTATAGGTGGTCTCTACCTTATCCAACTTTTGTCTGGATTATCAGATTCTTATCTTTAAAACATGAATTATCGGAATGATTGTGGTTTTTCCTCCCATTATATAAGTTGGAGGAACAGAAAAGAAGCTAACCAAAAGCAATAAAACAAAGGAAAACAGAATGAATCAGTGTTAGCAAGGGAGAAGGGCCTGAGGGAGCATCAGGAGGGCTGCCAAATAGATCTGTTAAGTAAAACAGAGATGACGAGAAAACCAACAATTAAAATTAATTAAGATTTTTCATTGTGATGCTGACCTCATGCTCCAGGTGCCTGAAACAAAGAAATGTGGATAATTGGGTAGTCATGACATTGCTCCAACTGGCCACTTTCCCCTTAACATGAGCGAGCCTGTCTCTCCCACCTGGCCCTCGTGGGCTTGGGTCAGGACCTGAATCGTGGCTCAGCTTCCTCTGCGCTGGAAAGAGGGGAACCTGAGGCCTGGCAGACAGCTTTCCAGCCCTTCTCCCTGGGTCTCATCCGTCAGCCTATCCTGCTGACTATGCTTTCAGGCTGCATCCTGGTTCACTGCCCTTCTCCCATTACCAGCCTCCATTTCCACCTGGAAAGCTGCAGTGGCTGCTGAATGGTCCCTCATTTCCACTCTTAGATTTATCACTCTCTGAATTGCCCCATCATGACTTGTCTACTTGTTTTTTTCTTATTTCTCCCACTAGCCTATAAACTTCTTGTTCACTAGTGGCTGGCCAGTGCGTGGCCCAATCAATACTTCTTGATCGAATGGAAGGAGCTGTGAATAGTTCCCTTCTCAAGCAAAAGACATTTTTCTCTCTCAAAGGGAATTCTACTCTGTAGACATGAAAGTGGGTCCCTTGATAGGTCTACTGGGCAGCATTTTGCTAACCTCATTCAAATAAGACTTCAACCTTATAAAAGGTAGTCATACTCTTCTTTTTAATATTTTAATACACATTTTAATACAAATACTTGTCATTTGTATTTTTCACACCCAGGAACTGAAAGCAGAGAGTGAAATAGTCCCAAATGGGCCTGACCCACTCACCTATGGTCACTCTGGAGGTCAGGCCCTCCCACCCCGTTCTCAGCAAGTGTATTCAGCTGCTCATTTCCTGCTGGCCCCTGCTCAGCCTGGATCTGCCTTTGCGTGTGTGTCTCACACAGTTCTGCTGCCCTGGTATTGACTCTCGGGCTCGAGGAACAAGGGTTGCCATCACTCTCTCCGCCATGTTTGTGACCACCTTGGGAAATGTAACTTGGGTCATCTCACAGGGTCCAGAGCCCCTGATCCGGAAGGGACCCAGGCTGTTCGCTGTGTGAGGGAGCCCTGTTTTGGAGCACTTGGTCTTCCACTCTCCCTCCTGCCACAGCTGAGTGGATCGAGGGTGGCGGTCCCTCAGTCCAAAGGCTGGCCGGTATGGGGCCTGGCTGGCACAGGAAGCTCCAGCTGAGGAGATGAGTCAGTGAGATCCCACCCACTCCCGGCAGTGTGGCCTGAGAAATGTGGACAGAATCACATGGTCAGTCGAAGTTGGAAGGTCATGAAAATGGGAGAAGCCTTGTGGGAGTGAATCTGAGTTTTGAGGAATCAGAATCAGAAGCACTGAGCTGAAGAAGGGATAGACAGAGTGAGGGCAAGGAAGCCACTGGAAGCGGAAGAGACAGGGCAGCCACACGAAGGGAGGCAGAGACCTGAGAGCAGCCAAGTGGAGGTGAAGGCAGGGCACTCAAGGGAAGCCCCGGGAATCGTGCCACGGGGCTCCTGGCGCACCTGGTGAGCTCCTCAGGTTCTCAAAGACCTGCCTGTTCCCGCCTCCACCCTCCCAGGGACGCTCCCATCCCCTCAGATGCTGGCTCCCTCGCTGTGCCACAATAAACCCTCAGTGCCCGAGCCACCCAGAGAGGCTTGCTGTTCTTTATGACTCACAAGCCCATACAATAAGAAGGACCACTGTCGGGGCTGGGGCCACAGCAGCAAGGGCTGTCCCCATGAGGCCCCATGTGTGGGCACCCAGAGCGTGTCCAAGAGCTGTCAGGGCAGTGACCCCTCGGCTCACAGGCTCTGCTCACATGTGTAGGGAGCTTCTATGCCTCAAGGGGCTAGGCTCCAGTTTCTATTTTTGCATGTATCCGCCAATTTATATATACATATATATGTACATTTTATAAAAATATCTGTAACTATTGATAAATAAATGAAAAGAAATAGGATATATTGGAGTATATGGGGAAGCCATTTGGTGTAAAACTAATTCAACCTGACCTTGTTTTTCCAAAAGGCCCTGACGTGGCCTGTTGAGCATGCATTGTACGTCTGCTTTAACCCTTTACAATGTCCCAGAGACAAGAAGGATGCCCCCAAAGATAGGGATGTGGCTTCTCCCCATATCGGCATTTCTTTAAGGATAAGCATCTCTTCCTGGAAACTAAGGATTAATTACCGACCTGCTGAGCTCACCTTGTGACCACTGACCTGCTGACCACCCACCTGCTGTGCCAGCTCAGCCTCTCATGACAGGAGTAAAAGAGATGTTCCTGTCAATGTGATGCATGCTCTTTGTCCCAAGACGGCATACAACCACTCTGTACACCCCACTTCTTTGGTGCCCTTCCTTCCTTGGGGAAGGAAAGCCCTGCGCTATAGTCCTCATACCTGACTCAATAAACTCACCCCAATTTTGATTTATAGGTCGATTATGGATTATTTCATCAACACTATATTATATATAATATAATTACAGATACAGATACAACTGAGACAGGGGCTAGAGTCTACAGTGTGTGTTAGGCTAAAATTGTGTATGGTCAAAATTGTGTCTGAGAACCGTTTAAAGTACCTGTAGAACACACACACACACACACACATACAAGATTTCGGTTGTATAACTACAACTTTGTATGGTAATAGTAAGTATAAATGCAAGGAAATAGTGCACCCTTCCTCTAGAACTCTTGCTGAAATGTCTACAAATGAGAAAAAACAGATTCTGGTTTCCACCTCCTGCCAAATATTCAAAGTGGCAAAATTGTGACCACAACTTGCAAAGACTTTTCCCATCCCAAGTGGCAGCTGGTTAATTCCTCCCAGCAAATGAATTGCACCATTATCCATAAGTCAGATGTCCTCTGAGATTAGTTTAATTGGCAACCTCATGACTTTCCAAAGATGTGAGGTAGTTCTAATAATTGGCACATGTATGAGAACTCCATTAAAATAGAAAACAAAAGTCACAGAAAGAGGGAAATTAATAACCTAAAAAAGTTATATATAATTGCTATAATGGACAACTGAACTCTGAGCTTCCTGGAAGTGAAGGAAAAAAGGGAAAATCTAATATAAGAATTCTCCTTGTTTAATCAAAATAAATCAAAAGAGAGGTTTCCTCTTGGCACTATTTTAAAAGAGTCACTCATAATTTCGCATAGTGATGAAATAGTGTTATTTTTGCTTGTATGCACTATATTCCAGTCCTTGTCTGCAAACAAAATAACAATTCTATTTAAAAAAATATTTGAATAGGGCCAGCCCCGTGGCCAAGTGGTTAAGTTTGCGCGCTCCGCTGCAGGCGGCCTAGTGTTTCATCAGTTCGAATCCTGGGCGCGGACATGGCACTGCTCATCGAGTCACGCTGAGGTGGCGTCCCACATGCCACAACTAGAAGGACCCACAACAAAGAATATACAACTATGTACTGGGGGGGCTTTGGGGAGAAAAAGGAAAATATAAAATCTTTAAAAAAAATATTTGAATAGGCAAAACATTCACATAGTTTGAAAAAACTAAAAAGTATACAGTGAAAAATTTCCCTCCCTCCCTTCTCATACGTTTGCCCAGTTTCAACTCCCTTCACCCCCCGTTTTTGTCTGCTTCCAGTTTTTATGCATATTCAGTAAGATCATCACCATCATCAACAAGAAAATACAGAATCCTATCCCCGCCCCCTTCTTACGCTTTGATTTCTTTCATTCAACAACGTATTTTGCAGACTTTTCCATGTGAGTAGGAAAGTTTCCTCGTTCTCTTTCAGAACTATGTGGTATCTCATTGTTTGGCTGTACTGTTACTTGGGTACCAGTGCCGTACTGGCATCATTGGAATTGTTTCCATTTTTTCGCTATTATAAACAGTGGCCCCACGTGTGTGTAATTTCACGCATGTGCATGTGCATGTATCTATATATGATGAGCCCCTGCAGCAGATTGCTGGTCAGGGCAAATGCCTCTGTGAATCCGATTGCTCTCACCGAATTGCCCTCCACAGGGCTTTTGGCGACCTGTGCTTCTACCAGCAACAGCAGAGGGTTGAGTTGCCACGTGATACCTATACACTCCAGGACCAGTATCCTCCTGTTAAGCTCCAGGGAGGAAGGAAGAGGAATGTGAGAAGGAAAGAACTCTTTATCAGGCACCTACTATATGCCAGACACACTCTATATATACAGGTTCGATCCTCACTGTAATTCTGTGGGGCAAAGTTTCTGTCCCTGATTTTTATGAATGAAGCTTTTTTTTTTTTTTTTGGCGAGGAAGATTGGCCCTGAGCTAACACCTGTGTCAGCCTTCCTCTATTTTATATGTGGGATGCCTCTACAGCATGACTTGATGACTGGTGCACAGGTCTGCGCCCGGGATCTGAACTGGTGAACCCTGGGCTGCTGAAGTGGAGCGTATGAACTTAACCACTACATTACAGGCCTGGCCCCCGAAGGAAGCAATTTTGTCCCAGAGAGGTTAGGAAAATTTGCACAACATTGCAGGTAAGTGGGAGAGAAGGGTCCTGACCCTGGGGCTGGCTCTGAAGCCTGTGTTGGTTCCGGTGCACCAGTCCAGGGGTCCTTCCGACACAGTTTCATGAACCAGCAGTGGCACCAACAGTGTTCTTAGCATCCCAATTATTTTATTTTCTTGCCTCGCTTGAACTTCAAGTGTCACAGCTCAGCCCTCATTAGAGGAGCTCCTGGCAACTCTGTCCTGCCTTCACTTGGCCTCCTCCCTAGTTCCCAGCCCTGGCCCCTCACAAGTGACTTTTGAAGGTGGAGCAGAGTGCCTCGGGGTGCCCCTCTCCCAGAAAGGCATCTAGCCACTCCTCCAGGTCCTGTACCAGCTGCTCCAGCTCTCGCACCTCTTTCTCTAGCTTCTCCAGGAAAACAAGCAGGTTCTCCTTCAACCAGGTCCTGATGACCTTTGCCGGCTCTTCTGAGAGTTCATTGGTCTGGTATTCAAACCCCTGAAAGGCAGACACCGAAGTTGCATCTTGAGCTTTTTCACGTAAGACCTCTTTGTCACTGGTTTCAAAAGGTTCCCTGAGCCTTTGCACATGCTATTCCTATAGCCTGGAGTACCCTTCCCCACCTTCTCCACCTGGCCAGCTCCTACTTATTCTTCAAGACCCAGCTGGCCAATGACACCTCCAGGAAGCCTTCCCAGATTTCCTCAGCCAAGCTTGATGTTCCCTCAGTACCTTCCTGAATATGTTACCTGAGAAGCCACAGGATTCTGGGGGTAGTTACATTCTCTGATCCTTTCTGATACCTCCCAACTTCTTCCTGAAACAGGCACAAACACACCTCTTAGTAAGTGCAAATGAGCAGTGGTTGAAATCAACATGGTTGGTCATCCCAGTAGGATGCAAGTGGGTGGGGGAAGGCAAGCTGTGGAGGCCCCCTTAGCATGTAACCATCTCCAGAATACCTCTCCTGATTCCGTGTGGACTCGGCGCCTCCTTTCTCAGATTCCAGAGTGCTCACCTGATATCCCTGTGCCCACATACAGCACCAAGATGAGCATCGCCAACAGCATCTGGGGGCAAGAAGAGGAGGAGGGGAAGGTGGGTTCCTGGCAGGCAGACGGGCGACCCTACTTCTCTCACAGAGGGCTGGGTGTGGGGCTGCAAGAAGATCGTTTTTCAGAACTTAACTTTGTTTTGGTTATCTAGGTCACATGTGCTTACTTACTACAGACCCTCAAGCATTGCAGAAATAGGTAACATGGCAACTTACTGGCATTTCATTGATGTCTTCCCTCCTTTCTGCCTGCTGAGAAGCAAGGCCCACCTCTGTTCTCATACCTTGCCTCACTTTTAAATGTTTTGTTTTAGATGATCTTTAAAAGGGATCGATTTTATTGTGGTGTAATTTATGAGCAATAAAACACACACATTTTAAATGTACAGTTTGCGTTTTACAAATGTCCATGCCTGTGGACTCCCACCCCAATCAAGATATAGACATTGCCATCATCCTAGAAAGTTCCCTTATGGCCTCTGCGATCACGTCCCTCCTTCCTGGACCCTGCCAGAGGGGACCGCTAACCTGCCCTCTGTCACTGCGGCGGAGTTGTGCCTGTTCTGTGGCCTCATATAAACGGAGCTGCAGAGCATGGCTTTTTTTGTGATTAGCTGCTTTTGCTCAGCATAATGCTGCTGAGATGCCTCCGTGGCTTTTGTGTTCAATTTTATTGATGAGTAATATTATATTGTATGAATACAGAACAATTAATGTCTTCACCTGTTGACGGACTTTTGGGTTGTTTCTACTCTCTTAGCAACTTCTAAATATCCGATATGGTATTATTAACGATGGTCACTGTGCTGTACATTACATCCCCAGCCTCACAGAGTTTGATGGAGCAAAGGGGCTGCATGAAGACACCATGGCTCACTGGTACTTGGGACGGTGCAAGATCATTTAGGAGATTCTGATGGAGGTCCCAGGACCAGGAGGGAGACAGGTGAGTGCCTTTGGAGAGATGGGAGAAGAGAGAGGGGGAGTCTGAATCTGGGAAGGGCCTGGCACCTACTCCAGTGGTGCTCCATGACGTGCCTGGGCAGGCATGGGGGTTCAGATGCACCTGCTTCTGACAGTGTGCATTGGGACGGTGACAGCGTCAGGGGCAAGCAAAAGTGGATAGAGGATTAAGATGGACACAGTGTTGAGTGACATTGAATTTTCCCCAAACGCACCAGATGTGGGCTGAGCCAGATTTAATTTGACTTGAAATCATATGTTTCTTACATACCCAAGTTTGTAAAGCAAGATTTAGAGCTGCGACCACAACAAAGATAAAAGCTGTATATACTCTGCCTCTCCCCAGACCGCTTTCTTGATATATACCAGCAACTCTATTGTTATTAACTTTAAAAAGAAATAGATTACCCAGCAACCATGTGGCTGAGTCTCACAGAGACACTGCTGAGTGAAAGAAGGCAGACAAAAGTGCACACTGTCCATTCTGCTCCATGAAATTCAAGAGCACGTAAAACTCATCCAAGATGACAGAAATCAGAATCGTGGTTGGAGGGGTGTGTGCGGGCTGGGAAGGGCCCTGAAGGAGCCCCTCACGGACTGGAAATGTTCAATAGCTTGATCTGGGTGGCTACTGCCCAGGTGTTCCCACCCGGTGTGAAAGTGAGTGCACTGTCCACCTAAGAGGAGGGCACTTTTCCCTTTCTCAGCAATGTTCCCTGGGAATCTTTTCCTGTAAGACGCACAGAACCATCCCCTTCTTTACAGGGCACATGAGTATTCTGTGGTCTGCATGCTCTTCTCTTTTCACCCACTCCTCTGCCCATGTGCTTTACAGGTTGATTTCTTCACCACCATGCTCACTGCTAGGTTTCTGTTTTGGCCTCTGGGGAGGCAAAGGGGGAGCAGGGACTAAGATTAAGTTTTCATCTTTTTCCTTTGCGCTGTCTTGGGGCCTGAGCCAAATCATTTCTTCCCTCTGAGCCTCAGTTTCTTCATCTGTAAAATGGATTTTAAAATATGCTGAAAGTTCTTTCAAAAGGAAAGATGGGACTCTGTGGTCGAATCGAATTGGGAAGTGCCGTGGTAAACAAAGTTAAGCGGATTTCCTTGCTGCACGACTTCTCAGAGCCTTCATTATGGGAATGAGCAGTATAAACCTCCAAGAGGCGGTGAGGGTCTAAGTGTTCCCCCAACCGCAGAACTCTTTTTGTGATTTTTCTAAAAGGAGCATTCCTGGGGTTTGGTGTTGTGGAATGCTTTAGGAAGAGCTGTGGCGCGCTGGGAGCCCCTCTTGCTATGAGGTCCAGCATAAAGGAGGCACTTGGCGCGTGTATATTAAATGAACGAGCGAACAAATCGTTTGAAAACACGTATAGATCAGTCATCCATTGCTCTGCTGAAAACCCCTCAACGGCTTCTTGTTACCCTCAGAATAAAAGCCATCCCCTTCCAGGAGTGACCCTGCTGACCTGCCCAGCCTTCTTTCACATCCATCCCTCCGTCGTTTCTCCACCTGGGAGCCCGCGGAGTGCAGGGTGTTCTTGCAAAGTGTCCTGGAGTCAGATGGACCGGGTTTCAAATAGTGGGATGTCCTGGCTATGTGGCCTTTTTACCTTTCTGAGCCTCTGTTTACCCATCTGTGAATGAGATTGACAACAACTGCCTCTCAGGAATGTTGTACGTCAGGAAAGAGAAGGTGGAGGCGCCGGCTGTGCACAGAAACGGTTACTGTTTTCCACTTTGACAGAATCCCATGTGAGGTTTGAATTTCAGTCCTGAGAACAAATGCTCTAGGAGCTCGACAATTTGGGTGTGTTATCCTGTTTATTTCAGTTTGTTCATTCATTCATTCATTCATTCAGGACCTATTATGCCCTGAGCACTATTCTAGGCACTAGGGAAATAGCAGGAAACCAACAACACGCCCAGCGCTCCCGGAGCGCACCTTCTGCTGCAGAGCCGAGGATGAAATAGTGTCCGTGCGGGCTTTGGGAGAAGCGCCCGAGCCCTGTGCTGTGTCCCACAGGGCGGGCTCCAGGGACAGTCGGGCTGAAGTCCCATCCCCGACTGAATGTCTTACTGTCTGTCTGGAGTGGCAGAGGGAGCCCAGACGGGAGGACCACAGCCTGCACCTGGTCTGACCTCACCTGCCTCTTGTCCTCACGGTGGCTGCCCCTTCTCTGTTCCAACAGCTCGGCAGCCACTCGCCCCCTGCTGCCCACCTGTCGGATCGCCATGGCCTTGGTCAGGCTGCCTGCGGGTAACAAGGTGCCCCCACTTGACAGGCAGATGGGCACCCTCGCCTCTCCCTGCCTCTGGTCACCAGGCATCCCTCAGGCCATGTGTTCTGATGTCACAGAAGGTGGGGGACAGTGAGGCCCCCACTTTGTCACCACCCTGATTTTTAGCCCCATCCCTCAGGTTTTCTTCATATAAATATAAAAATACAAAGACCAGAAAGAAATGCATCAAAAGATTATATTTCAGGGTGATGATTTTTCTGATCTTTTTCCTTCCATCTATTCAAGTTTTTAATAAAATGCGAGTTTTTAAATACAAAATGATAAAAGTTATTTTAATTGAAATTTTCTTTGAGATAATTGTAGATTTACATGTAGTAGTAAGAAATAATAGAGCAGAGCCAGTGTACCCTATACCCAGTTTCCCCGATGGTAACATCTCGCATCGCCTGTAGTACGATATCACACCCAGGACACTGCCATTGATACAATCGTCAATCTTCCTCGCATCTCTCCGGTTTCAGTTGCACTCATTTGTGTGTGTATTTAATTCTAAATAGTTCTATCATGTGGGTAGGTTTATGTGTCCACCACTACAGTCAGGATATAGAATTCCCAAACCAGAGGCTCCTTGTGTTGCCCATTGACGCCTGCTGCCCTCCCTCCGCCCCCTCCCCCACTGTCCCTAACTCCTGGCAACCACTAATCTGTTCTCCATTTCTAAACTGTTATCTTCTCACAAATGGCATATCAATGGAATCAAATAGTGTGTGATCTTTGGAGACTGGCTTTTTTAGAACTCAGCATAATCCCCTGGAGATTCCTCCAGATTGTCACACGCATCAGTAGCTTCTTGCTCTTTATTGCTGCATAGTATCCCATGGCATGTAAGTAGCACAGTTTGTTTAATCATTCACCCCCTGAAGGGCATCTGGCTCTTTCCCGTTTTTGGCTCTGATGCGTAAAGCTGATATGGACATTCTTGTATAGGTTTTCATGTCAACGTAGGTTTTCATTTCTCTGGGATGCCTAAGAGGGCAATTGCTGGGTTATGTGCTAATTGCATGATAGGGTTGTCAGAAACTGTCAAGCTGTTTTCCAGAATGGCTGCACCATTTTACATTCCCATCAGCAATGTCTGAGTGGCTCGGTTTCTCCTCATCCTCACCAGCATTTGGTGTTTTCATCATTTCTTATTTTAGGCTTTTGGTCGGTGTATGGTGAGAGCTCATTGTGGTTCAACTTGCATTTCCCTGACAGCCAGTGGTGTCGAACGTCTTTTCAGGTGCTTGATTGCCTCCTGTACCGCCTCTTCAGGGAAATGGCTATTCGTAGCTTCTGCCCATTTTCTAATTGGATTGGTTTTTTTACAGTTGACTTTTGAGAGTCCTTTATATCTCCTTTTTGGGGCGTATGATTTGCAAATATTTTCTCTCAGTCTGGAGCTTGTCCCTTCATTCTCTTCCTGTGGACTTTAGCAGAGAAAAAGTTTTTGATTTTGATGAGGTCCAACTTATCAATTTTTTCTTTTGTTGTCTTATTTCTTTTATTTCTTTTTTATTTTTATTGTCTTATTTCTTTTACTAAGTCTTATTTCTTTTTTTCAGTCTAAGAACTCTTCTCCTAGCCCTAGAAACAGAAGATCTTCTGCTGTTTTTTAAGGTTTCGTAGTTTTATGCTTTACAATCCTGTCCACGATCTCTTTGGAGTTAATTTTTATGTAAGCTGTGAGGTTTGGGGTGAGGTTCATTCTTTTTGCCTGTGATGTCCGCTTGCCCCAGCTGCATTTGTTGGAATGCTATCCTTCCTCCTTTGAATTGCTTTTGCACGTTTGTCAAAAATCAGTTGAGTGTATTTGTGCGGATGTGTATCTGGGTTCTCTGCTCTGGCTCCTCAGCCTGCCTGCCGGATGCCGCAGGGTCTCGGTTCCCGTAGTTCCACAGGAAGCCTTCACAGTGAGTGAGGTGGTTTCTCCTCCTGTGTTCTTCTTTGTCAGATTGTTGCAGCCCTTCTAGGGCCTATTCCTTTCCATATAAACTTTCCAATAAGCTTGTCTGTGTCTACAAAACCCTTGCTGGCTGGGATTTTGATAGGAATTGCACTAAACCTGTGGACCACTTTGGGGAGGACCGACATCGTTGCTGTGTTGCGTCTTCCAATCCATGAACACGGTGTGCTCCTCCTTTTATTTAGGTCTTCTTTGTTTTCTTTTATCAGCATTTTGTAATTTTCAGCATACAGATCCTATACATGTTTTATTAAGGGTATACTTAAATATTTCATTTTCTTTGGACTTCGTCATATATTAAAAGCTCCATCTACCAAACAAATTTCGTGTGTTAAGAAATCATTAATTTTTCACTTTTTTTTTTTTCCTGAGGAAGATTCGCCTTGAGCTAACACCTGCTGCCAGTCTTCCTCTATTTCGTATGTGAGTCGCCACCACAGCATGGCTGCTGATGGACACGTGGTGTAGGTTGGCACCTGGGAACTGAACTCTGGCTGTCCAAGCAGAGTGCGCCAAACTGAAGCCCTCTGCCACTGGAGCTGGCCCAGCTTTTCACATTTTTATGAGTTAACTTTCCCAAAGTTACACATATACAGCTTCTGATTAGCAGCCAGATAACTTTTATTGACTGAGCACCTATTCTATGTGAGGCATCTTATTACCTCTTCTCCGGGCTGTAATTCTCTGGTAGTTGGGGATTGAAGCTGTTTTACTGGCCATTGTGTCTCTAATGCCTGTTGTGCAGCCTGCTACATACTAAATGTTTAGTAGAAATATTTGTTGACTGGATGAATAATGAGCAGCTTCAAACTGTGGGTTCTGAGAGGCCATGAACTTGGTCTGGTGAATACATTTTTGTATTCACAGTCTTTGGCTCAGTAAATATTTGCTGAATGAGTAAAGCAGGTGATACGATTTTCATTTTACCAGTGAAGACACTGAGGCCCAGAGAGGCTGAGGAAGGATATTAGGCGGAGTGGCCATCGCAGACTGAGGGTCTCTTTGGTGCCAGATCCCGTGCTCACTGCTTTCTGTGCATTATCTCATTTCATCCTCGTGACTGCCTGCAAGGTCGGGGTGCTGTCAGTCTCTCTGTCTGGACGTTACTCTCCTTGTTCAAGGTCGCACACCCTGCCAGGGCTCTGAGGGCAGGTCCATTTAACTCCAGCATCTTTTAGTTTACTCCAGGGAATTAACGTAATTTCAGCCAAAAGCAAAGAAAGTCGCCCTTCTTGTTATCTTTTGTGGCTTTACTGTGGGCAAGTGGATGTGGGAGTCCCATGAAACTTCTTTAAATATCAAAGGTAGCTCCGCGTCTACCCAGGCTGGCACTCAGGGATTTCCGGCGATCTGCACTCCTTCTCCTGCATATCGTTAAAGCACAAGAGTCAGCCGAGTCAGTTTGAAGATTGGCTTGGCTTCCTGAGGCTATTCGTGAATCGGGCAGCATCTCCTTTAGCAAGCAGGGCGGTCCTCTGAGGGGCTGTAGGGCATGGAAGGTTTTTATAGGGAGGAGGGTGGGGCGAGGAAGTCATTAGCAAAAGAAAAGAAAAGGTTATTTCGGGCCTAGACCTCTTCTTTTTCGGTGGGGGAGGAATGGCGTGGGTTTTATCATGGGATCATCTCCCTAGTGAAACTGAGGAAACTTCAGATTGACTGTTTAAAGGTCACCTACCTGGGAGGGCCTGAAAATGTAATTACGTCTTGGTTTGCTGTCACGGGGGCCATTTTGGGCCTGTTATTTCTTTTTTAAGCAATTTCGTTATTATTATTATCATCCGCAGCTAAGATATTTCAAGAAATGACTGAGTAACGGGCACAGTGCGAGTGCTTTGCAGGAATTGGCTCACTGTATTATTTCAACTCTAGGCGGCAAATAATATTATTATCCCCATCTTATAGAAGACGAGACTGAGGCTCACAGTGGTTAAGTCACTTCCGCCAAGTGACACAGCTGGGGCTGAGATCTGAACTCGGGGTCTGATTCCAACACCCAGGCGTTTGGTTGCCATGAGATACTGCCTCTTCCATGGCAAACTCAAGACCAGAAAAGGAAAGGGAGCTGCCCAAGCCAGTTGGAGGAGAGACCAGATCTCAAGTCTCTTGCTCCCACATGGGGACTCTGCCAATGGCCATTTGCGTCGTCTCGATGGTCCTGCACATGCCCCCTGCACCTACTGGCCTCTTCGGCTTTACCTGGGGGAAACGTTTCAAATGTCAAATGCAGATGCTCAAGGACTGCTCGTTAAACGAATTATGGCACATTGAAAGTAATGAATAACAGTCATGGAAAGAGAAGACAGAAGCATTTTCTGGGAAACCCAATGAATTCTTCCAAGAAACTGCTCTGAAGAGCAGCGATGAGTTGGGGGGCTTCTGGGATTGGCTCTGAAGGCCATTTCCTGGGGGTTTGGTGTCAGGGCAGGGAAGAGAGGGAAAGGAGGGCCCTGCCCAGCCCTCAGGGCACATGCCCAGAAGCTGGTGTGGGCTGCGGCTGGAGGAAGGTCTGTGCTGGGCCAGGTGCCTCCCAACCTCCCCGCCAGTGCTGCCGCTTCTCAGTAAAGGAAGACGGAGGGGATGGGAAAGGAGGGCGGCAGTGGACCAGGGGACTAGGTGTCCAGAGTGAACGTGGGAATGAATGGGGAGGGAGGGAATGAATGGAAAATGTGTGAATGAATCAAGAGTTCCGGGCAAATCACTAATCGAAAAATTACACCCTGCCGAGGGACAAGTCTGCCCCACACCTAAGGAGCAGACACGAAGCAGTGCTCTGTGCTGAGGCCTGAATCCCAGACACATCTGAGTTCAAATCCTGGGTCACTGTGTTTCTGAGTCTCAGTTATCTGAAAAAATGAGGCCAGTGACAATGTATGTCTTGTATGTATGAGGTTATTGGGCGCACCAGCTTGGAGGAACTCATTGGATAGTGCCTGGTTCAGAGTAGGAGCCTCCGTTAGTCCCCTCCCTCCCTCTCTGCTTTCTTATCCACCCTCCTATTCTGTTCCTCACTTCTCCAAATGTTATTGACTGGCTGCTTCTGTGCCAACTCAATGCAAATGTCTCTCCCAGTAATT